GAGAGAGAGAGAGAGAGAGAGAGAGAGAGAGAGAGAACGAACAAACACTCTAAGGTTACCTCAGTGTCTAATGGCCAAAGTGGGAGTTAAAAGACTCGGGAGCACCAAGACACTATCTAATGGGCCCTGGGTAAAAGACTGTTCATCACCAGACAAACAGGCTTGACGTTAAAGGCAAGCATCCCTAACTAAAATAGATAACATGAAATGCTGATAATAAATAATAATAATAATAAAAAAACCACACACACACTTAAACAGATGTTACACAAACTGATTAGAAGCTAAGTTCGCACAACACATAGAACTCAATGGAAGAAAAGTGCTATAAAATATGGGGTGTCTTGCATGGGTCTTCGGGTTTTGTCTTGTCAAGCTTGGAGCACCAGTCCAGACTGGAAGTCCTGCTCCCCATTTCCTCATGTCAAATCACCTGGCCAGTGACTAGATGTGAACAACAGACTGGTAACTATAACATCAACAAGGCGGGGTATGTGTGCATGTATGAGTATGTGAGTATAAGTGCACTATATGCATGCGCTAGAATAATGTTACATTACCTGTAAGTGTGGCATTTTGCCTTATCCCCCTAAAAAAGATCCAGTGTTATTATTTAAAGTATAATAGTGTGGGGTCTGAGGGGAGTTTAGGTAAAGGAGGGGATTGTGACGGGCTAGGGTAGAATAGGGCTGTCTGTGAGGTTGGAGCAGGGTTGTGGGCAGGGAGGCTGTGGGCAGCCAGTGGTCTGGCAGTATCGATTGCTGTGTCTTGGGGGGGTGGGACTCAGTGGGACAATGAGGCATGTGGCACAAAGGAATGGGGTGCTTCTGTGATGTGGGGAGGGGCCTGTCAGTAAGATAGTGGGTTGGCAGGACAAGGCCCGGGTTGATAAATATGGAATGGGTAGTTGGTTTGGGTCTTGTCTATAGGACAGCATGCAGCATGTCAGTACAAAATAGGTGTGGATGGTTTGATTTGCTGGTAGTTTTGAATTTTGGGGGCAGGAGAATCAATGGGTATAACTCTCTGGTCAGGGAGTCACTTTAGTTTGTTGTTTAAGTATGTTGTGCATGTGAGGTTTTCTAAATAGTAATTTTGTAGAACAAATTTAAAATTAACAAATCCACCTCCGAGAATGTTAACTTTCAGTTTGTGCAGATGTAGGTATAGAAAAGTTAAGTAACTTGTCCAAGGTATCTCAGCGGTAGAATTGAAAATAGAAATCAGAAATCCTGACTCCATTCCACCATTTTAACCAGTAAATACACTGCCACTTGTTGTATTATAACTGATAGAACTTTTGTAGGTAAGAGTCCGAGTGCTGTGGATGATATGCTAGATGTGGAGAACAAGCATATGGCAGACAATCTAGCCACCAAGGTCACCAGGCTGAAATCGGTTAGTTACTAACTACACCTCATTCTTTTTTTTTTTACCGTCTTACATCATGGATGTTGAAAACATGTATTCGGTTACACGGGTCTGTCTTATTTATTCAGCTGTTCAGACGTTTTATGTACCACACTGTCTATGACAGGTCAGGTAACTAAATTTTGCTGTTAGAACATCCTGGAGAACTTTATTGAAATCCTCATTCCTTGTTTGGGATTTAGACAAGTTTGTACCTTTATAATATGGTTATTTTTTGTGGCATCCAGAGAAGGAATTAGGTTTGGTAAATAAATGGGTAGAGGGATTAGGGGCAAGAATATGCAAAGATATAGTCCTAAGGATGCCATCTGAGGAAGGTCTCAATAAAACCATATTAAAATATTCATGACAAATGTGTGTGCTCTGTTCCCTCAGTGCTCTGTTCTCTCAGGATAATATTCCTGAGACTAAACTAGTTCCATTGGCTTGAAAAAACATTAGCTTTCATTTCTTAATGCAGAGACTACAGTGTTAACAGCGTACTGGAATCTTTTTCATTTTCCCCAGTATTTGCAAGGTCACTTCATATACAAAAGTTTGAACTTCTGACACTAGAGATCTTAGGAATGTCTATTGCAACTAATACCATGTATTTGACATTCCATTTTTTTCATTTGACTGAACACACACATTGTGTGCATATGTGTGTGGGAGATGGGTAGGAGTGTTTGTGTGCTTGAATTTCACCAGCTTTCAGTGTGTTAGTTAATTATTTCACTTGGAGACTCTGACACTTGCTTTCCTCTCTTGAGTAGCTGGCACTGGACATTGACAAAGATGCTGAGGAACAAAACCGCTATCTGGATAGCACGGTAAGCAGCTGATAGAAGTCTGTAAGCGATGAAAACTTCTCGGCTGAATCTCAAGATTTGGGGTAATTGTTTGAGTTTCATGGCAGCCCAGTAAACAGCACCACAATATTTTGTAGCAATTAGGTTTGGCAGTGGTCCACATGTTGGGTGATCAAGGAACATTAGAAATACAGTTGGAGATTATTTATTGAGATTAAAACCTCTGTCTCTAAAGCTAATACTCAGATATAGGTTTTTCTTAGTCACTTTTGTTTATAACTTTGGAAGTCTTAAATTGCTATGCATATCGTATAATAGCAACACAGAGAGGAAATCTGTAACTTAGCGCTTACCCACTGAGGTTTTTGGAACAATTCTGAAAGGAAGGCAATTCAGTGCAGATGTTTGAGGATGGGACTGCAGTATGCTTGTTTCTTGATGAGAGGGATCAGGCAGTGGCTTTTCTGCACATGTTGGAGTCTGGAGAAACTGGGACATGGAAGCCATAGGGAAGGTAACTGCAGGTTTGAAAGCAAGATGGGAAGAAGATAACTGAAGACTTAAGCAGAGGCGGGATCCATACAGTCACATACAAAGTCAGAATTGGGAAGGAGAGGAGAATGAGCTTGATGATGAAGATTAGCAGCAAGATAATGTGCCTTTCACCTGATTCTTAAATCAACTAGGTATGTTCAGGAGATTAATTTATACTTTTATCTGAGAAGCATTTCAAATGAATATCTTGGGATGTCGGCTCAAGTTTCTTCCAAGTTACATAACATAAAGGAAGACTGCAGCATTAAAGTTATTGCATATCATGTTCACTTGAATGTCTGAAAAATTATAGCAAACAATAGAAATTGTAGCAATAAGATCATAATGGAGAGTGAGAAAGTGGATAGAAGAAAGCAAATGGTCCATAACTAAGCCTTATTAAGTTCTATATAGGCGAGTTCTTGATGCAGAAGAGAAACCACTAATAGAAATGAACAACAATTGGGTAAATAAGGAAATTGGAGCTGCCTAAATATATAGGGAGGTAGTGTAACAGGAAAGAATGGTATGAAGTCAAAGGTGAAGAGGAAAAAAGAAATAACTATCATGAGAGAGGAGACAGCGGTTGAGCTAATGAAGGGGAAGTACATTCTGTGCTAAATCCGGAGTCCAACTGTAAACTGCCTATGTCTACACTGGCATCTTGGTCAAGAACTGTTTTGTAGAAGAGTTCTTGCACAAAAAGTCTTCCACAAGAGCGCGTCTACACTGGCATGTGCTTTTGTGCAAGAGATGTGCTTTTTCACAAGAGCGTCTGTGGCAGTGTAGATGCTCTCTTGAGCAAGAAAGCTGTGATGGCCATTTTAACCATAGGGTCATCTTGCGCAAGAAATTCATGTTGCCTGTCTACACTGCCCTCTTGTGGAAGAACTCTTGCGCAAAAGGGCTTATTCCACTTGGGGAGAAATAACTCTTCTGGAAGAAGCCCAGTTTTACAACGCTATACTGTAAATTTACTTGCGCAAGAATGCGCGTGCAGTGTTGACATCAGGCAAGTTTTTGCACAAGAACGGCTGTTCGTCTACAAGAAGCTGCCAGTGTAGACATAGCCCTAGACTTCAAAAGTGTGCTTCTCTGAGAAGTGACTATAGTAGACCCGGAAGATCTATTTGAAGGTACACCACTCCAGCTATGTAAATGACATAGCTGGAATTGGAGGTTGATGGGAGCAAATGCTCCTGTCAGCTTCCCTTATTCCTTGCGACTGCAAAGAGTACCTGGTGCTGACTGAGGGCACCCTCAGTTTTCGATTTAGAGAGTCTTTAGTAGACCTGCTAAATCAAATGCCAGAAGATCAATCTCTTGCACGGCAAGTGGAGACATGGCCTAAGTTTCCACGCTTAGATTCAGGAATAACTCTGTGTATAAACAAGCTCTTAAACGTAGATAAGTAGCATTCTGTATTAATAGTTATGCTACATGTGGTGTTTAATATGACATGTATTACAGGATCCTCAATTATATGTAGAATAGAATAACACGAACATCACTCTGCGAGCCCTTAATTCTGCATTTTCTGGTTTCTGTGGAATTAAGATACCCAAGTTGCCGTGACAGTTTTGTTATATTTTTGAGGGTGTGCATTGCATTTAATAGAATTTGCCCTTCAAATAAGTGACTCCAGTGAATGAACTGAAGGTAATAAGCAGTTCCTGAAGCCCAAGTCTGAGTGTAGCCGATGCTGATTTCTTAGTCTGATTGCTGCTTGTTTTTTATCATAGTAGTTGTTGTCGCCGTTTATTTTAGACTTAAGACTTAATCAGTTCTCCAAACAGCTAGAGACTGAAACACTTTTCTTTTTTTTCTTTTTTTTTAAATCAAAACTACCACCCTAGGGAATGCCCCATTTGTTTTATAATTTCTCTTTCACCTTTGTCTCCCTCAGGACTCAGATTTCATGAGTGTGACAGGCCTGCTGACGGGGAGCGTGAAGCGTTTCTCCACCATGACACGCTCGGGAAGGGATAATCGCAAATTGCTTTGTTATGTTTCTGCTGGACTGGTTGTTGTCTTTTTTATCCTCTATTATTTGGTGTCAAAAGCACGGACTTGAGTGGGGCTCTCGTGCTTGGAATTTTTATGAAAAGAAAAACTTGCCATGATAGACAAAGACTTGCTCAAGGGTATCCACATTCTACCCTGTCGTGGGTTGTTGGGATATTCCTGAAGAACCAGATAATGTTTCTAGATTCCAAGTTATTGTCATTTTTCTAGTCAGTCTTGGATACGTTCATCGGATTTTTTTTATAAAATTAATATAGTTAATTCTGATTTCTTTAAATTTGCGTAAATTACAACTTGATCTCCTTGTTAACACTTAGCCTTTATTTATTGCTTTATCCATAACCTTTAGCTTCCATCTATTGCTTGGCTCATAACCATGTGATGTCCACCTTAGTGAGTGTCATGCTATGAAAGTGTTTGACTCGCCCCATAGTAGAAATGTGCCTGTACTCAATTAATTAATGGAGGTGGGGAGGTTGCAGGATTCAGGAGTTTGAATGTGGGACTTTGAGGCAGGAGCTGGTGAATTCAAATTCATCTTTGTCATTGTCTTGCTGTCCCTTGCTTTATGGTGTTGGAAAGACAGTTAATCGCATTTCGTATTTTGAAATACATTAATATCAACAGCATCTCTTGAGCCTAGAATTGTTTTATGATACTCTGAAGAACTAAATTGTATGTGGTACGTACTGAGTTGAGTAGTTACAAAAATCTATCAGCCATTCATTCTATGAGAGTTGAGTTTTACTATTGGAGTAGCTTTGTTTTATTAACTTTGCTTGTCTCGTAGCAGAGGATGGGGAAAGGCTGTAAAGAGGTGACTGGTGGTGGTAATTTTTCTGTAGCATGTATATCACGGCTTGTGTAACACATACACGCTTGCCTAGTTGCAACTGTAGAAGATCTGAGAAGATTGGAAAACCGAAGAGGAGGAAAACATTACAACAGGCTTGGAAACTGTTGGTATTTAAAGTAATCCAGAATGGGAAATTGTACAGCTGGTGCTAGCATTCCCATGATATGGTACTTCAGTATTGTTGGGAAGATGTTTCCACTCTATAGGTAAAGATGGATATTGGGTCTGATCAGAGGGGGTAACATAAAATAGGAGGTAACCTTAGAATTCACAATTCTTTGACCCCTCCACAGTCCACAACCTGGTAGGTATGCTGCATGTCACAGTTTGGCAGTCTTGTACACCTGCCTGAGCAAGTATTGACTATTGGTGAACTAATCATTCCAGAGCGTGCGGCACTTTGAGATATAGTATGTAGCCCATTCTGTGATGATTCTACATAATTTTATGCATTTGAATGCTGTGTGGATGAAGGATGTTTGTGATCTTTCAGTACTACGTCTTTATTCTGTACAGTACATTCTTTAGGAATGCTTATCCCAAATCACCCTTGCTGTCCCTGTCATTGAACTTGTTGCTTCCACTCCCATTCCAATCCATGTATATTGTCCCGTTTGAATTATTTGTATCTTCCTAATGCTACTATTGTTTTTTAAAAAAATCCCAAACTCTATACACTGTTTTAAAAGGCTTTTATGGTACAAATCAACTCTACCATATCTATTTTGTAGTGTGTGGTATTTGTCTAATGGCTTCTCTGTTCTGGATTTTCTTGTAAGAATTCCTTTGCTTGAGGATGTTGTCTCTCTTATTCCTCTGGATATAACCACCTCTCTAGGACCAAAGAACATATCCTCTATACAGTTTATTGTTCTCCCCAAACAAAACTATATTTCCTAATCCCAGTGTGTGTTTGTTTGGCACTGACAAATGACACAATGTAACAGCAAAGAATTCCTTGTACAAGCCACAGAACATTGATCCTTCTGAAGATTTGGATCCAGTTATCTCAGTCTGCTTTGTACCTTGAATGTTGATCTTCTAATACACTAGTTGGTGTCCTCTAATTTGCATCCTTATTCTGTTCCAAAAGTAGAATGTGCAGTAAGGATGGGGGAGAAAGATGCATTAATGATCCACTCTTGATTCAGTCTTGCATGATTCTTGTCTTTGCTAACACTTTGGATATTCCGAGCTCCGTTTAGATGTTGAAATATTTTGGAATGCTCACTTGACTATTCTGTCTGCTTTCCTCGAGCAAATTAATCCTGACCAAAGAGCTCCAAAGCACTCTAATTCTTGCTAGTGCAATTATTTCTTTGCTTTTTATGGTGTGAATAAAGTTGTACAGGGTTGAACCTCTCTAGTCTGGCACCCTTGGAACCTGACTGGTGCTGAACTAGAGAATTTGCCAATCCATGGGAGGTCAATATTGTCTAGCAGCATTACCAACACTTTCACTGCTTACTGGGGTCTCTGAAGACATTTAGAGGTAAATTAGAGTTAAATAACAGCACAGAGCACTGAGAGCCAGGACTGCTGGCTGTAAACAAACTTTATGGGACTTCAGGAAACTTGTCCACACCTATTATAATGGACATCTGACTAACTGAAATATTGCTGGTCCAGAGAGTGCCATAGTAGAGCGGGTCAACCTGTACTAGATGCTGCATCAGTAATTTTATATAATATAAATTTTTATCATAATACCGTATTATACTAACCAGTTTTCAAAGAAGTACATGGTAATTTTTATAGAACCTATTGCCTTGAACCAGTATTGATGCACAACATTAAATGTATCCGTAATACAATACTACAATGAATAGTACAGCGATTACATCCAACCTCTAAGATGCATTAGTCTCAAAGGGGTGACAAAATAGAACCTTATTGGAGCTGCATGTGCCCTTAAAGAAGAGGAGAAACTGCCTCCTATTGACTTCTGGGATGAAGAGGAAGAACGACCACTGAAGAACAAGTTGCCCCATCTTACTCAGAAGTCAGTAATAGAGTTGGTCAGGAATTTAAACACTTTTTGCTGGAAAATGCTGATTTGTCAAACAGAATTTCCCTTGGATTTCAACAGATTGCTGTTTTTGTTGTGTGCATTTGTGGAATGAAGTTCTTTGATTTTTTTGGTTCAAAATGACTTCTTGTTTTGAAATTTTACTTTAAAATATTTTTAAAATAAAATTTTAAAAATAAAATTCACTTGTCCTTTGGAGTTCAAGTGTTCATTTTCCTATCACTGCCATCATATTAATCTTGACTTGAGACGCTAAGTAAAACTTTGAGAGAATAACTGGGGAGGCTTTTGGTGTTTCCAGCTTGGTTAAGCAGGGCAGATAGTTTGTCCTCCCAATAACTGTATGTTAGCCTTTTTTGGGCTCAATTGTGGCACTTAGGCATTGCTTATAGCAAAGGATGGTGCAGAGTTGCATAATTTCTGCATAGAGCTTGGGGAGGAAGCCTCACAAAGACAGAACTTTTCCCTATAATTCAAGATGAGAATCTCCATTTCTGTGGCACTTCAGCAGG